ACAGCTGATACAGGTAACACAGGTAATACATTGATACAGGTAACACTGGTAATACAGCTGATACAGGTAACACTGATATACAGCTGATACAGATAACAGTAATACAGCTGATACAGATAACATCAGTAATACAGCTGATACAGATAACACAGGTAATACAGCTGACATACAGGTACAGTGTACAGGTATCATTACAGCTGCATACAGATAACACAGGTTAATACAGCTGATACAGCTGATACAGGTAATACAGCTGATACAGATAACACAGGTAATACAGCTGATACAGGTAACACAGGTAATACAGCTGATACAGGTAACACAGGTAATACAGCTGATACAGATAATACAGCTGATACAGGTAACACGGGTAATACAGCTGATACAGATAACACAGGTAATACAGCTGATACAGTAACACAGGTATCAGCTATACAGGTAATACAGGTAATACAGCTGATACAGATAACACAGGTAATACAGCTGATACAGGTAATACAGGTAATACAGCTGATACAGATAACACAGGTAATACAGCTGATACAGATAACTCAGATAACACAGGTAATACAGCTGATACAGATAACACAGGTAATACAGCTGATACAGGTAACACAGCTGATACAGTGATACAGGCTAACACAGGAATACAGCTGATCAGATAACACAGGTAATACATGATACAGATAAACAAGGTAATACAGGCTGATACAGGTAATACACAGGTAATACAGCTGATACGGTAACACTGGTATACAGCTGATACAAGGTAACACTGTAATACAGCTGATACAGATAACACAGGTAATACAGCTGATACAGGTAACACAGGTAATACAGCTGATACAGATAACACAGGTAATACAGCTGATACAGATAACACAGGTAATACAGCTGATACAGATAAACACAGGTAATACAGCTGATACAGATAACACAGGTAATACAGCTGATACAGATAACACAGTAATACAGCTGATACAGGTAATACAGCTGATACAGCTGATACAGGTAACACAGGTAATACAGCTGATACAGATAACACAGGTAATACAGCTGATACAGGTAACACAGGTAATACAGCTGATACAGGTAACACAGGTAATACAGGTAACACAGGTAATACAGCTGATACAGGTAACACAGGTAATACAGCTGATACAGGTAACACAGATAATACAGCTGATACAGGTAAACACAGGTAATACAGCTGATACAGATAACACAGGTAATACAGCTGATACAGGTAACACAGGTAATACAGCTGATACAGATAACACAGGTAATACAGCTGATACAGATAACACAGGTAATACAGCTGATACAGATAACACAGGTAATACAGCTGATACAGATAACACAGGTAATACAGCTGATACAGATAACTCAGGTCATACAGCTTATACAGATAACACAGGTAGTACAGCTGATACAGATAACACAGGTAATACAGCTGATACAGATAACTCAGGTCATACAGCTTATACAGATAACACAGGTCATACAGCTGATACAGGCAATAGAGTAGTACAGTTGTTACAGGTAGTACAGTTAATACAGCTAATACAGGCAATACAGCTAATATGGCTGGTACAGTAGTCCGGCAGTCTCTCAGCTAGTCAGGTGGGCAGGTCAGCGGGTGGGTGTATGGTAGGGTGAGTGGGCGGGGAATGAATCGAATGAGCGACCCCTGAGCTAGGTAGGTTGGCAGGTGGCAGGGTGTATGGTAGGGCGGGCAGGTGGGTGTATGGTATGGTAGGGTGGGCAGGTGGTGTATGGTATTATGGTGGGTGGCAGGTGGGTGTATGGTATTATGGTAGGGTGGGCAGGTGGGTGTATGGTATGGTAGGGTGGGCAGGTGGGTGTATGGTATTATGGTAGGGTGGGCAGGTGGGTGTATGGTATGGTAGGGTGGGCAGGTGGTGTATGTTGGTATGGTAGGGTGGGCAGGTGGGGCGTGTATGGTATTATGGTAGGTGGGCAGGTGGGTGTATGGTATCTATGGTAGGGTGGGCAGGTGGTGTATGGTATATGGTAGGGTGGGCACGTGGGTGTATGGTATTATGGTAGGTGGGCACGTGGTGTGTATTGGTTTATGTAGGGTGGGCAGGTGGGTGTATGGTATGGTAGCGGGTGGGCAGGGGGGTGTATGGTATGGTAGGGTGGGAGGTGCGGTGTATGGTATTATGGTAGGGTGGCAGGTGGGTGTATGGAAGAGTGGACGGGCGTGGAATAAATCGAATGAGCAACCCCCCCCCCCCCCCACCCGGCGCATTTGGGTTGACACTGTTGACCAACAACAGGTAAATACAGGAACGTTTTCATAACGGCGATGTTAAATTTGACAACGGCGGTGCGCCACCGTGCCTCTTATGTATGAGAAACCCTGTACCTGACTCTCTGTGTTGGCTTCGCGGATGCAGGGAAGCAGCTTCGGCCGGAGCCTCTGAGCGAGGTGAAGCGACGCTACAAGAAGGTGTTTCCCGACGAGGCACAGGAGTGCTGGCAGGAGCAGTACGTCGCCTCAGCCGACAGCTGCAGCCACGCCTACTGGTGAGTGATGCGTCGTGTCGCCGCGGCAACGCAGTGAGGTGCGGAGTTCGCGCGAATTTATGGACTTTTGGTACTCTGCTAGTCGATCGCATTTTTTTTTTTGCGGGCGGTTCAGGGAGTGTTTGCGTGGGGACGCGTGGAACGTTCAGGCATCTCGTGTCAGTCTCGTTTGAGGGGGCACTCGCATTGGGTGGGCAGGATCTAGAGCCGCGAAATCTTTGCATCTCTGTTGCGAGAGAAAGATCTCTACACGATATTAGCCAAATGTTCGCAACTGAGATGAGGAGTGTGATCGGCACACGAGATTTGAAAGTTGTTTGCGGACTGTGGCAAGTTAAGATCATTGCGCAAGATTATTAGCGAAACGATTGCATCCACGGCAAGAAAGATCTCTGCGCAACATCGGTAAAATGCTGCGGTTTCGGTTTCGTTCGGTCAATAAGCTATCTATAAGCGATCTAATAACTAGCGTCAAAGTGGTCGTGGTAATGATGAGAGTACTATTGACACCACCGTCCACATTGCGGTGGCTGACGATGATGCGGCTTCTCTCCACCAGGCGGGGTAGCTGTCGGCGCGGCGCGCTGGGCTCGCAGTGCGAGGTGGGACTGCGCAGGCGCACCTACTACATACTCAGCGGCTCCGTGCTCGGCGTCTGGGCGAGGGTGGAGAACGTGCTGTCGCAGACGGTCGCCGGTAGCAACGCGAAGATGCAGATCATCCGCGTGCGCACGGAGGATGGCCGCAAGATCGCAGGTACAGTGTCTCTCCTGCAGCATCCCTCGTGCAGCATCCCTCGCGCAGCATCCCTCGCGCAGCATCCCTCGCGCAGCATCCCTCGCGCGGCATCGCTCGCGCGGCATCCCTCGTGCAGCATCCCTCGCGCAGCATCCCTCGCGCAGCATCCCTCGCGCAGCATTCCTCGCGCAGCATCCCTCGCGCAGCATCCCTCGCGCCGCATCCCTCGCGCAGCATATGTACGCGTATATTCGCTGCTTTCAGGCATGCTCATCCACAGCGCGTCTGTGAAACCGCTCATCAACGTACTCACCCAGGACTCGTCTCACACGTTCACCGACAAGTTCTGACGAAGGCTTGCACGCGATGAAGACGACACGTCGAACCGATCGCCCGCCCCGTGGACATGTGGCGTTGGAGTCGGTGCGTGATGGCAGCTGAGAGGAGTGAGATGTACGCTAGAGCGTCGCTCGCTGTGTTCGCTGTGATAGGGAAGACGAGCTCGGCTCTGTGAAACCGAGCAATAACGACTCTCAGTATGCGTGCGTGCATGCGTGCGTGCATGTGTGTATAGCGTGTGTGCGTGCATGCTTCTGCGCGTGCGTGTGTAACGTGCATGCATGTGCGTGCACATGTAACGTGCGCCGGTGTAGGAGTCCGTTATTCCCTTGTTATTGTTAATAATAATAATTCCTAACCTGTCTGTGATGCTTAAGACTTTTGATATGTCGCAGCTGTCGCCAGTTGTAACTGCTGCACTTGTGTTGCGTTTCACTTGGAAGTGAACAGTGTGGCTATTTGAGGTGGGTGATGGTTGCATCTGGAGGAGGCAATCAGCAAGGGCTTGCAGCGATAGCAGAGATATAGCAAACATTGTACGATACGTTTTGGAAGGGACAAAGAAAATATAGTTGTATATATTTTGTAAAATTGACCATATGCACGTATAACCAGATAACTGTGAATGTTTTGTGTAGATGTCGTCACAAAGCGCCAAGATTGGAGTCTGGTCAGTTTAGATGATCGTGTGAGGGGTGGGGGCAGGTCGGGTAGGCGGGTCAGTGAGGGTTGGGGGTCGGGCAGCAGCTGAGGGATGATGGAATTGGATATAGTGACAGCTCACTTGCACCGAATTGCTGTGGTTACGTGATAATGTGAGCTTAACGTACATTCATTGTTGTCTCGCGCGGAAGCACACGCTACCTGTCATGTTTGTCCTCTTAACGTTATCTTGAGTAAGGGACAAGACGGCTCTGCCACTCCTTAGTGTCAAAATAAAATCCCGAGCCCAAAGTCCAAATAATAACTTTCAAAACTTCTTTTTTGTAATTAAACGTGTTGCCAATGTCTTTGGAGTATCCATTTAGAGTTGCACGATAACTACTAAAATGGGTAAGCGCTACCGTGGTAACGAATCTAACGATATCGGTTTACACTCCCTCTTTATCGGGGGTTTATCTTCTAGAGTAGAGCTGAGTAAGCCGGTGGCAGAGACCGGTGGGACGCGAGTGAACCGAGATATTATTTTCTGTATTGCGTCGGATCTCCTGCGTCGCGCCGAGCTGCGGGTGTCGTGTAGTCAACAGTGCCTCAGACGTGTTACAAATAGACTATGATCAGCGCCATCTATTCTACGCTGCGCGGCGACAGCTATCTGTCTTGCTTGCACGCGGGGCGGCAGTCGCCCGTGACGCGATAACTTGACGTCATCGTAACGCGCTTGCTTGTCGCATTTGTTGCCAAGCGACCGGAGTCGAAGTAGCGTGTCACGTCTGCTTCATTACGTGACGTCGTCTGCTCCCGCGTGGCATTGGCTGCGTTATCGCGTGACGTCATCCGCTATTAACTGGTGTGGTCTGCCTCAAAGTGGTGTTGTACAATATCGTGTGGCATCATTTTCTATTGTATGGTGTCATTTGCTATCGCGTGGCATCGTGTGGCATCGTATGCTATCGTGTGGCATCGTGTGCTATTGCGTGGTGATATCTGCCTCATGGCATGATGGCGTCTGCCTCGTTGCATGGCGTTTACGGTTTTTTACGTGATATCGTCTGCTTGCAGCTGAGTCTATCATTCCCGCGGCTTTTCACGCGCGCGTCAAAGGGTTGCAATATCGACGAGGACCTTGTGTATTTATTGTAAAACTGGCACAGCGTGCGTAATAAATGCCAAATAGTGATACACTTGTAAACGGTCGCATTGAATGTTTTGCTTATTACGCATTGAAATGTACTTTCTACGTAATTCAACTAGCAGTAATAATACTACCATATAGAATCAACCATCACGAAAAACCAAGAAAAACCTTTACATTCAATATCTGGTATTCTATCTATCTAGTATTTATATGGTACTTTAATCTATATCCTATCATGTTATATTCCCTCGGGAATAAGTGAGCACGCACATGCACACACAAACGCACATCATCAACACTCCAAATTGGAGATTTGTTGTGAACAGGATAGAAGCCGCGCGTACTGGATCTGGATCTGGATAGTTTTCTGCGTAGCCCACGCTTGTTGGACATCTCACCTAATGAACGCGAGAGGGCAGTAGGCAACAGTCAACAGCAATGGCTGACTGTTTGTTATTTCATTTATCACTTTCCGAAATCAGGATTATTTCATTTATCCTTTCAGTCTATCCCTCCTGATCTAGTCTACTGCTCCTGTAAGTTACACACCCCCGAAATCTCCACACTATATGTAGATGCTGTAACTATGTCGTCATCATCGGAAAAATCAGAACATCCGGTCCATCATGGATACAGATCCGGTCTATCATCGATAGAGCTAGACTGGTACGGACCTTCACTACGCCAAGTATCCTTGGCTACACTGAACTTATAGTTAGTGCAGCGTGTGCACCGGCAGCAGTCTAGCAGCCGCGTGAAGAAAAACTGCGTGAAAATGCCATGAACATGGCCTCGTGGCGCCATCTATGGGACGCGATATGTTCGAAAATAATGTCAGGGCATGAAACACCCAAAATGGAAACTCGCTTTTCTACACGAAAACGAAGCGCGCCGACCAGCAAACGAACAATAACGAGCATTTCTATGAAATCTCTACCTACGTGCGTAGTGAAAAGGCTTGTGGAATCGCCACAACTGCTGAATTGAGCGATTATACGGCTTTAGCCTACACCCAGAAGGGACCTGGGTAAGATGATTCGAGTGGGGGCAGCGAAAATGTGTTAGATCGCCGCTAGGCGGCGTTTTCGCGCTTCGCGCGGATATCCGGCTGCAGATCGTCTAGCGCCACCTATCGTGACAATTAAATGATACCCAAAATATTTTATTAAAAACATCAATAATTTTATTCACTTTACACAACTTTTCTTAAAGCAAAGTTAAATACAGCTGCCAGATATTGACAATCATCAATCATTCTCACGGGTGCAACTCGAACCAGTTGAACAGTTCAATATGCTTCACAGTACATCAACGTAGACTGGGAGAAAGTTCAAGCAAGTGAATTAAACTCGTTTTGAATTCTAGTCACTTCAACCAGGCACTGCACAATGCTATCTGAAACTGGGCCCTCTTTAAAGAAGGGATAATAAATGTTATCTAAAACCACATCTCATGCGAAGTGAACATAAATAGCCCCCAGGGGTCAACAACTCAATCAAAATTGCACTTAGGATGAAGTATAAACTCTTTATTTGACGGGGACGCAAACAGAGTGGAAACATACATACGTACCAGGGGTTAATAATGACAAATTTGTCATTATTAACCCCTGATACGTACACATTCAATGCATACACACTAGGGTATTACATACTACGGTACAACACTAACAGGAAACTTGTATGGAATGTAATAAATAAATAACCATAGATACACACACACGTGGACTTACTTGCCTAGATACATTGTCACTTTATGAATTCAATGCACCTGGCAGGTCTGCTTGTAGAGAACACACTCCAAAAAATCTACATGCACGGAAAATTCCGCACACAGTAAATTTCCAATTTTTGATAAGTCCGCCAATGTGAAATCGCACAGCTTTTACTCGCCACACACATTTCGTAACCGGATGCCCATGTATATATGTTATATACATACAGCAGTATACATACAGCAGTATATATTATATACCCATGTATATATGTTATATACAGCAGCACATGTATATATATTAACCCAGATGAACGATAGAATGTAGGTCTACTGCTAGGACTCTTTCCTCGAATCCCCTCGGCCTCCTCTACGCTGGGGCACGTCCGTCCCGAGGTACCACAGTATCCTCCCACCTCCTCCCCGGGGAGCAGGCATCCCGAGCTGTCACCATGTCCTCTCACCTCCTCCCCGGGGAGCAGGCATCCCGAGCTGTCACCATGTCCTCTCACCTC